AGGTCATATTCAGCCATATAGGGAAGTTAGGGCAACGCTAGGTGATCCTTCCACAACTATGATTCATGCGTAACTGTGTCCTGCCCGTTTATTTATTTATTTATTTTGGACGTGTTTATTATTTATTTATTTATTTATTTTCGTGCTTATTTTGTTTGTTTGTTAATTATTTATATAGCTCATCACAGGCTGGCAAAAACCTGCTTTCTCATTTTCTTTTGCATTTTCGTCGTTTATTTGACCCTCTTTTTTTTCGGTGCAAACTCTTCTTTTTATTTTACATATTTTCTAAAGTCTATGAACTATGTAGGTTCTACAATTGTCTTTCAAAGTTTCCCCCTCTTTTACTGTATAAGAATGAATTGTCTTGGCAAAAAAATTCTTGATAAGAATCTCTAATTAGATCTGGTAATATTTACATCAAATTCAGTTAAATAGTCATATAAAAAAATTAAGAGATGTGAAATTTTTTATATTTTATTTAGGTATATAAAACACCTTTATTTATTAAGTGATATTACTACGTAAATATAATTTCTAACATAAAATTGTTGCTACAATTTTTTAAATAGAATTTTAAGCAATGATTAATTTCTCTCATTTTTTTTTTTTTAAGATTTTGGAAGCACGTAAATGAGCGATTAGCTCCTAATGTTTCGCCGGAGGAAGAGGCTCTAATATTATTAATTGAACGGACAAAGTCATATTATTGAAAACATACTCACAAGTCACAACATGCTTTAGTTTGAATGGCGGTGAGGGCTTTTTATATTAAATTAATGGTTGAGAAGTAATATATTTATCTGTAATTCGAAATAATTGAAAATGAAAAATAATCTATAAAAAATATCACTTCGTGTCCATATATTTTAATTCTGTTTTGTTTTTAATTTCTATAATTTATTTTTCATAATTTCTCATCCCTTTTATTTGTTCTATGCATGAAATGTTAGTTCTTTTATTTTAAAAAATATTTAAATTGACCACAAAATAGCCTAACAGGTATTAATTTTGCTGAGATACAATTTCCTACTTTTTTTTATGCCCTTCTTCATCTTACTTGCACCCTTTTCATTTTAAGAAAGTGAAATTTATTTTTTTGTTTTAAAATTTATATACATATTTTAATTTTTATTATCTTGACTATGTAACCAGTACTGTGATAGAGTGTTTTAATTAATTTTAACTAGAAATATTGAGTTGGGTGGGAAAATTGGATATTCTTTAAGATCTTTAATTTCAAACATGTTGGATATAAAATTTATTCCTAGAGAAGGAACTATTCCAATTGGGAGTTAACAATGTCAATTCAATTTAGGCAATAAATGGGTCACATGCATGTTTATATTGAGTGACTTATGATCATTTGTGGCTTTCTATATTCTTTATATTTCATACTAATTAATTTAATATTGATACTGACTATATATGCTATTATTATAATAGAAAATTTATGTTTATATGATTACTGTTTGTTGTATCATATATGTTTGATTGTGTAAATAGAGAAAATTAATCTGCTGGTCCTTTAGTTTTTCTTGATTTCAAATTAGATCTCTATAATTTATTTTATCTTAATCAAGCCCAAAAAGTTGATTGACTAAATATGTTACTCCATATTAGTTAAAATCCTTAAATTTTTTTTACAAAGTAAGTTCTTTTGTATTTTTAAGATTATATAACTTCATAATTAATTCCATATTTTTATAATTAAAAGTTTATATAATTGGGCTATATTTTCAAAATAACTTGTATATATAGAATTTTAATAAAAATAAAAAATGTAAATATTATTGTATTAAATTAATTTTTTGGCTAAAAGTATTAAACCATTTCTTATAAATTTTAAATTTTTTTATTTTGAAAAATTTAATGATTAATTAATAATTTTTAGACCTGGAGGAACTAGTATATTTAATTAATTAGTTTGATTAATTAAATAAATTAGTTCCTCCAGGTTTTCTTAGAAGGCTAAAATGGGAATTTTCTATGTATAGAAATTATAATATAAAATATTCATGATTTTTTCTTATTATTTAATTATTTCTTATGCTTTCATTTAGTTAATATAAACGTATTTTTCAAAATAACGTATTTTTATTCCATTTTATTTTTATTTTACTCATCAATTCGTAAATTGTTTTTTGGGTTCACGCTCTAAATTACAATCTTGACATCGCATGGACAAGGCAACGTGATCCCAGCACAAGAAGGCTAACACGCGCGCGGGGTTAAATTTTCACCAATGCGAGTGAAGAGGAACCATTATAAAAATTGTTAAATTAAATTTGATAATTTTTAAAATTATATATATTTGGTTTGAATTATTTAAATCTATAAAAAAATAAATAATAAAAAAAAGTAAAGAAAAGAAACCCACTCCACACACATGCAATTTAACGTGAATATAATATCATTTTTAATTTTTTTAGACTGTACGTATATAATTTTTTCATATATATGATTCAACGTTGAGTTGAAGGCTGTTATTGACTTTTCACTGCTGCCATGTGATGCTAGAAGGCAAACATTACCGGCCGTACAAACGTTTGTTGAGTATCTCAGACTCACCAATGGAGCGTCACTTCCACGCAAACATTTGGACCAAATTTTGCCTTTTTTCTTTTGCCATGCATGTTTGGACCAAATTTAAATTTGATGTATTAATGAAGATAGATCATCTCTTCGTATGAAAAAAAAAGAGAGAAGATACCTGCCACTAAAAAGTATTTTTTATAATTTTTTTAAAATTTAAAAAAATATCTCTTTTTATTATATTTTATTGTAAAAAATCATGTAGTCCCCTTAAAAATTAATTATCCAAATAACAATAAAAATCTTTTTAACTAAGTCTCATATCACCACTTAAATATAAACTAATTTAATTTTGTGATGTTTTCATCCTCTAATCTTTTATATGGGTGATCAGTATTATACATATATGAATTAATAAAAAAGCTTTTCCTATCTCATTTTCTCTTTATCCTGTTTTGGCATTTTTATTACAAAAATGATGCCTTAATTTAAAATATCAATTCATTTTTTAACAAAAATAAAATAATGATAATTTAAATACTAACTGCTAGATGACTACTCATATTATACTCGATTCATACCACCTAAATATTATGATCTCTGTATTTGTTAATGTTAATATATAATTAGCACTTCATAAATATATTTAATTTTTAAATAAAACTGATAACTAAACCCTTTTTATTTGCTTGCCTGGGCAATACTATTTTGTAAACAAGATAATTAAAATAAGCTATTATATGAATGAAGTAAAGTATAATAAAATATTTTATTTAATCTTATCTTGGTCACATTTAGATTATATTATATCACTACTTATATATATGAGCAGTGAGTTTTTCTTGTTTTCTGTCACAATTGAAACTTGAATTAAATAAATGTAAAAGTGTCAAATATGTAGACTGTAGTTCCATACGTGCTTGCTTTGAATACTTTAATTTAAACTCAATCTCATTTATTTATTTATTTATTATTTTTTAAAAATATAAATGAGTTAACTAGCAAGTTAACCTACTGTGGGTTCAACGCCCGTCCCGTATCTAATTGAACTAATTTTTTTTAATATAATCCATTGCTTTTTTGCAAGTTGAGCCCACCAGCTCTAGATAGAGGCTTATAAGTAGTGTAAGAACTTTCAAAAAAGATGAATTATTACTCATATTGATTATTAAATATCACATTATTTAAATTTTTATTTATTTATTTGAACGTAATTTTTATTTTTGAATACTATCAGTATTTTTTTGGAAAATATTGCCTTATAAATTAAGATAATTTATTTTGGTTTTAGGCCTTTTACTTAAAAAATAAGATGTGCTTTCATTAACCACATATCAGTTCTTATTGCATTAGTGAGCCCTAAGCTGACTTGTGTTATATTATTTATATTCTTTTTCAATTCATATAACTGGCAAAAGTGTAGAGTAAGAAATTATTTTGAAACGAAGAAAAATAATTGATCAATGTTAATTAATTAAGTTGCCATAGAGAATTTCAAATAGTCAAAGTAAAATGTTGAATTTAATTTAAAAAAAAAAAATAGGTTCAAATATTTTCGTATAGCTCTTTGTAAAAGTGACAAGGCAACTCTTTTTTTTTTTTGGCAAATAGTGACAAGTCAACTTTAAGTCTAAATGATATGACAGTTCATTGACAGTGAGTATTGAACATACAAGATGTCGTTTTGTAATGGTCTCTAAAGTGAATGCCCAATTGCTAGAAACTTGCTTTAAAATCACTTTGAAAATATTTCCTCTTATTTCAAATGAATTATCTGGGCAACAAACTTTGGTAAGTTTTAAGGCATATGGATATAATTTTTACTCCAAAAAATCTATTCAAAAAATTTCTAACAGTCCATTTGTCAAAAGCTAATTTATAACACTCTTTACAAGTTATAATCATTGGCGACAATGATCCTATATAATGAGAATTCAAATTAATTTGAACGAAAAGTGATAATATTTTTAGAATTCTTAAAATGACGGGTGATGGAATAAATTTTTTTTTCTGAATTTTAAAAATTGTTTGGATAATATTCTTTTATTCAGAAAATTCATTTAAAATGTTTCTGAAAATTCATTTGTCAGAGTTGATTTGGGTTTTACTCTCCAAAAATTACTCTCGACCTTTAAATAACTTCAATGTTAATTTTCAATGATACAAGTTACTACTTTTCAAACAATATTCAATTTATCAAACCTAGTACTTTTTAACAAATCTATTAAAATATAAATTTTTTTAAGAAAATACTAGAGCCTCCTAGGACCTTTGAATGTGGCGCGCGTGAAGGAAATGAGAAGTGATAAAATAACAAAAACTCTCAGGAGACACCACACTGTTACAGAGAGAAAAAGGACCATGAGAGCTGTGAATCGGTGTTGTGGTGTCACTCTGCATCCATTTCTCATGTATATGTGTGTGATCACGTTCCTCACTGCTTGATCCCCATCAGCGCCTCTCTCACAACTATACTCTTACCTGTCAGCCTCTCTGTCCTCTCCTTCTCTTTCCCTGTCTCTCTCTCCACCCTCTTTCCCACTTCTTATTTAATTCCCTCTTGACCATTCTCAATTTCTCATTCTCGTCCCCCCAACGTGCACGCTAATTCTCTACCTCTTGGATCCGTCGCTGATTCCCTTTGTTCATCGGAGAACAATGCCGGAGATGGTGGTGAATGCTGCTGCTAATTCCAGCTCCAACGGCGGTGCCGCCGTTGTTAATAATGGGCATCAGTTCGGTGACACCACGCTCACCAAAGTGTTTGTTGGAGGACTGGCTTGGGAGACTCCGAAGGACGCCATGAGAGAGCATTTTCAGAAGTACGGCGAGATCCTCGAGGCCGTCATTATCTCCGATAAGGCCACCGGCAGATCCAAGGGCTATGGCTTCGTAAGTTTTGATTTGTTTGTTGAATTTTAATTCGTTGATCCTGATCCATTTTTGACCATTCATTGGTGGTTCGATTTACTTCGATTTTGTTGCTTACTGTTTTCTTGATGGATGAATCTGTATTGTGTTGCTGTGGCATTGATATGCAGGTGACATTTAAGGAAGCTGAAGCTGCTAAGAAGGCCTGTGAGGATCCTACGCCGATCATCAATGGCCGCCGAGCCAACTGCAATCTGGCTTCGCTCGGCGCGCGACGCCCAAGGTCCACCAACACTTCGCCGCCTCGTCAACAAGGTATGCTTGATCACTCTGCTGGCTTCAGCTTTTTGAGAGAAAGCTGATCGGCATGGTGACAGAGAGTCATAGTTCATAGAGTAGAGTAGCAGACAAAACTGTTGTAAATTACGAGATATCTTATGGGATTACTAGTCATTTTACTGCCCCTTTTCTTTTTTTTTTAATCTGATTCATTATAATTATTTTTTCTATAATTTAATTCCCTTCCTCAGTTATTAAAATGTAGTGACAATCCTAAAACTTTGAAAATTTAGTAGTTACCAGCATTCAGTAATGTCTTTTTTGAGATAATACTATTCAGTAACGTTTAGCTAAACACATTATTGAATTTTGAATAAAAAATATTACCACGTCCAAATACTATTATTTATTTCTCATAAATAGGTTGGGAGGTGATAGTATAAAAATTATTTCGATAATTAAAAAGGTAAAATAAAATAGATTTTCTGTAAACAATTTGCTATCTGTTAATATTACGACTGTGCAATAATAAATAAAACCATTGTCTGTGGAATGCCATTTTTTATTTATCCTTCCAGCCAGTCGCTAAAAACAAAAATGGAAAAAATGAGATTAGATATTTAGATTAGTATTTTTCTTTCTTTTAGAAAGAAGGTATTTTTGTAATTATGGTCATCATGGAGGTCTGAAGTTGTGATGTTGACAACGAAGGATCGAACGGCGGAGGACAAAGGAACGCCCAGAGCGCCCCACCACCGCCAGCCAATCACGTCCAGTGGTATTATCCGGTGGGGTCACCTGCTTCACATTTCCACCATCACCACCCCCATCAGCCAGTTCCTCTCTATGGGTATACTTTAAATTAATTAAATTTAATTTTTTTTACAATTTTTTCTTTTTTCAAAACAACTAATTCTTTGATTCCTCAAATGATTAGTCTTGCTATTGAGTTAAAAAAAAAAAACAAATAATTCTTTGATTCTTTCATTATATATTGTATTTTACCAAAAAAATCATATTTCAATTTTATTTCCAGGTATACCCCAACGTACATTCCAACTGACATCAACTACAACCAGGTATGGTATATTTTGATATTTTTCATTTTAATATTTGAGACTATATTTAATTTGGAAAATTTTTATCCGGTGAGAAAATAAATTAATATAAATTTTCTTGGAATATTTTTTTAATATCAAACCTTATTATGCAATTTCACAATTAAAAAATTAGATGAGCACCCCTCACACATGGGTCTGGAGCACCATTTGGTGGTTTTGCAGTGTGCCCACATGGAGAGAGAATCCGTGTGTCAAGCTTAAAGTTTAAACCATATTACCTGTATTTAGTTGTTCTAATTCCAAGTGTACAATCTTTTCATTAAAAAAATAGTACAAATATCTGATAATTATTTTGTGTATATATAGAATGTTCTGATATTGAGATTTACTTGAGTACGGTGATCGTGTACAGAAGCTGAGCTACACTGGCGGTGGGCCCTATATGAATGGTTACTACTCTCCAATGTACCCGAGTCAGGCTATGGTGGGCGGTGGGAACACAATGATGCCCATGTACCCTGTTTATCAGTACCATCAAACGCACACGGTGGGACTATCTGCCCACATATTCCAACCAACCACGGCTGGGCACGTGGCCATCATGTCGAAGCCCGCGTCCATGACTCCTAACACAGGTGCGTCACATGCTAACATGCCCACCCCAACCCCAGTCAATGTCTGTAGGCAGCAATGCGAATCATTGTGGTCACGTGACCCTGTGATCGTGATTGAGCTCAGTTCATTTGCAACCATAGGACGGCCGTGTCACCCCCACGTGATCTGAAATGACCATATCAGCCCTCTCACAACTCACCAGCCAGATTTTTTTTTTTTTTGTTTTGAATAATAACCTCACCAGCCAGATTTATTCATATAGTTGTCAATCCATCCTCACCTGAATTACTACCCATTAAAGATAAAGATTAAATATCAATGGGCACACTACCACAATCACAACCAACTAGAACCCCTCACGCATTTATAGAATATAAAAAAAATTAATAAACAATAAATACTTCAGCTTATTTATAAAATAAAATTGTGTGCAACATATATGACTCCCTGATGCTAAATCTTTGCAGCAACTCATTCTACCTCATCTAGCTTTTTAAAAAAAAACGGAGAGATCCCCTCATTATAGTCCCATTTGTGAGAGGATGTAGGGAAAAATGTGGCAAACATTTAGATCCTAGACTAGCACAAGCTTATAAGACAAGTGATATTGTTTATAGAGTATGAATGGTACAATTTGTTATGTATTTTTATAGTTTGATTTTAGATTATAAAGAATAATTTGTAAAAAAAAATAAATTAATTTTTAATCCATGAACTTTTCTTTACTCAATGATTCAGATCTTGAATTTTGATTTAAAATAGCTTAATTCTTATGGTTTCTTGACTTGAAATAACATGGGCTTGATAAATTTTTGATTTAATAAAATATAAAGATTAAGTTGTATTGAATCAAAAGTTAAAGATTAAATTGGTGGTTGAGAAAAAATTTAAAGATTAAAAATTATATTATTCATTATTTACAATTGTGAAAAAGGGTAACTGATGTTGGGATGTTGACATGTATTTGAAATTATTGTCATGAATGGTTTGAATGATAAAAAAATGAACAGATGAACCAATAAAGAAATGAGAGTGGGAAGAGTAAGAAAGTGAATAAGATTAAAAGTTGGGAAATTGAAGACTGAAATTACAGAGACAGTTTGTTTGGGTGTGGAATAGGTATTGTTGGGAGAGGTGAAAGCTTGAAAAAGGTTGGCTGAGGAAAGGAGCACAGATACAGTGCATGCATAGTTGGCAAATAACTGAAGGGAGAGGAAGGTGGTGGGTGCACAGAGCAACATTATTATCTCATCTGTCTTGTCTCTACTCTCCAATTCTTTCTTTTCTTTTTCTTGTTAATCTTCTTTTTCTTCTTTAATTTATTTATGTATTGGTTCAAATTTTAATTCTTAATCTTAATCTTAATTAGGTATTTTGATTTATAAGATTCTTTCACTCTCCCCCCCCCCTCTCTCTAACATCTCAGCATGAGCTGTGAACTTTTTGAGACTAATCTGAATTGTTGTGCTGACGAAATGAATATTGTGTTCCAACTCATATTTGTTTTCTTTTAGTTTTTATAAATTCTCCAAAGAGTTAATGAAGAGGGTGCGACATCCACACTCAAGTGAATCTCATACTATATGTATGTATGTATGTATGAAAGTTTTTTTTTTTAAAAAAAAAACACATATGATGAAAACTCAGCTGTCCCAGGAGCAAAGTCACCTCTTTTATTGGAAGAGGTTCTAAGTTTAAATTAGTGTTAGCATGTTTGTTTTGGTGCATATGTTTTTTTTTTTTGACACATGGAAGAATTAGACCTGGGGCAATATATATATATATATATATATAAACCTTGCCTGTATGCTCCCATTTGTATGTTTCAGTCACCTCGTTCATTGTGGCTTTTTATTAGGCCTTTTCATTTGCCCTCTTTTATTTGACTACTTTTGCTTCATAAAACATTGGCATTTGTGTGTGTATTTATGTCCTTGTGTGTTATGGCATATTATCTTTGTTTATTTTGACGTAAAAATTGATAAGATAATTATTTATAGTAAAAAACTAAACTTAAAATCAGATCGTGTAACAAAATGTTGAGATATTGAAGAGTATTCAATTCTACAATAAGAAAATGACATTTCTTGTGAATATCTATAGAATAATAAGGTCTATGTCTTTATTTTTAAATATAATATCTTAATAACTATGAAGAAGATGTCTTCACAATCAACATAAAATACAAGGGAGATGGGTAGATTTTTTTTTTTTTTTTTAGATTTTTACAAATATAACCCATGTTATAAGATCATATCAAACAAATAACTTAATATTTATTATATTTTAATTTACATTATAACTGATTTATTGTATTTATCAACAATATATTGTTGTATATCATTGATAAACTTTTTATAATTTTTAAAATTTTTAATAATACATCAATAATAAATTATTTGTATATCAATGTGAATTAGCAATCATACTTATAAATTTTAAAAAATTTTGTCCATATTTTCTAGGTGCAGGAGTGTTTTTGTTTTTGTTTTTATTTTTTTTTTGCGATTAAGCCAATTTATCCTCTTCCTTTTTTACTGAAAAACTATAGTATATAGATAATCTTGTAACATGATCACATATACCTATGTATACGCACACTCTTTTTTTATTTTATTTTTTAAAAAATCGTGAAACACACGTAAGTTCATTGCCTAATTAATTTGAACATCAAAGGATCTTATTCGATGCACCATCATTCGTGGAAGAGCCTAAGTTCACGTTTGGCCGTTTGGGTAGCTTAAAGTGAAATGTGGATTTTGGACTCCTAAACTATGTTTAGGTAAATCTAAAAACAATAATCCAAACAAGCTCTGAAGCTTTCTGAAGAGTGGCATTATTATAAATATTGATCTTATAAAAAATAATACACATTCCCTTCTTATCTTTCTACTTGCATTTCATGCACTCGTTTGCTTGGAAGCAACATGCATCGTAAGGGAGAGTAAATTTTGATTCCATTCCTTCGAGTGCAATTTGTCTTGTATAATAGAATTAAATGAAATAAAGAAAAGCAAAAATTAATCCACTAATTTTTATAATTTTCTTCAATTTTAAATTAGATCTTTATAATTTATTTTATTTTAATCAAGTACTTATAATTTTATTAATTTCGTTAATGTTAAGGTTAAAATTATTAATGAATGATTAACTTTTAAAAAATTAATAAAATACGATAGTTAAATTTTGGACAAATTTTTGTACAAAATAAATTATAAATATTAATTTAAGTTTAAAACATATAAAATCCCCTTAAACTTTGAAATAGTTATATATAACTCCCATCATCTTTAAAAATTTAAAGTTAACTCCCCTAATCTTTAATTTTATTTTTTAAAACCCCATATTGTTAATTGTGTTATTTTTTTATAAGAGTTAAAATGTCATTCAAGTAAAAAATATCATTAAACAAGATATTATATTGTAGAACTATGGCTAATAATTTTTTATATTTTTAAATAGTTGAGATATTGATAATACTCAAAACAAATATTATTATCACTATATTAAAATTTAAATATTTACTTTTACGTTTGTTTTATCTATTTTTTATTATCAATGATGCATAGTTTTTTAGTATTAAAAGATAAATTATTCTAACTTGGTAATATTTAAAATTTTAAATATTTTAACCATATGCATTATAATCTAACATGAAAAGATAAATAAAAATTTATCTTTCAAAACAATAAAATCATGCACCATTAATGACAAAAAAAAAACATAGATAAAAATAATATAAATATAAATATTTAAAATTTTAGACAGTGATAATAATATTTTTTTGTTATTAATGCCTCAACTATTCAAAAAATATAAGAAATTTATTATAAATAGTTATACAATATAATATTTTTATTTAATAATATTTTTTAGTTGAATGATATTTTAACCCTTACAAAAAATAACATAATTAACAATAGTGAGCTTTAAAAAATAAAATTAAAGGTTATGGTGATTAATTTTAAACTTTTAAAGATGAAGGGGGTTGTTTGTAACTATCTCAAAATTCAAAGAGTTTTATACATTTTAACCTTAATTTAAAAAATTACAAATAAAAATTTTTGTTATAATTTAAGAGTTATATTTTATACTTATATATGTATTTGGAATTAAAACTCTTGAATTTGTAATTATCTAAATTGATTTTTTCAACTAATTTTTTTTAAAATTTGCTGGGGACTTAAATATCATTAATTCAGTATTTTGAGACTTAACTATCATTCTCCCTGAAAAAGAATTTTTATGGATTAATTACTTCAATAATTAGTAAGAGCCAAAATAAATATTTCATTTTTTGGCATGAGATATAATTAATATTTCACATCTCGCTTATTGCGTTATGGATGAAAAACTGAAAATTTAATATATTTTCAAGTTTTATTAATCACATTTGCATATTCTTTTATAGCATATATTATCAATTCTGGTTGATCCATGCCATTAATTTTTTTTCATAAACTATATGCAACTTGTTCACTAATAATTCCTTTAACAGGTGCCAGACTTGCCAGCCTGCACATTCAACTTTAACTTTAAAGCATGAAGGATACAAGTTGTATGGGACATGTTATTATGTTGTTAATGTGTCAAAAAATAAGTTAATTTTTTTATATAATTATTTCAATAGGCTATATTCGAATTTTATTGAGTCTAATTAGATATTATTTTAGTAAAAATGTTTTTTTTTTTGCATTCACATGAATTCCAACTTCAGATGTCATATTTAAACAAAGAATTATGGGCTATTCCACTAAGACCAACGTCCTAAAATAAGTTAACTTATAAATAAACAATTAACTTGTATGCTAAATTGAAATTGGTTTTTTTTAGAGGATAAGGTGAAATCTTGTTTTTCTTGAAAAAGTTGTTGGCATCTACTCCATCTGATCTCATTTATAAAATACATTTTAAAAGTTTTATTTAATCCCATTGATGAGTCACAGTGTAACTTTTTAAGTAATATTTAAAAGATATCTTCAAAACAAACATTCATGAGAAAGACAAATAACATAATATCACTTTTTAAATTATTATATGAAGATATATTTAAAATTTTATATACTTTTATTTTTTTTAATTTTTTTTGTATTGATACTGATGAGTAGTATAAAAAAAACTGAAAGAATAATATTATTGAAGAGGTGAATTTTCTAATTGTTACAGTTTCAATTTTGCCTTCCATTACAAGTTATCCTTGCAATAATACTTCAGTGGAATTTGCACATGAACCCCCAAAAAAGCACCCTTATATGCACGGTAATTTTATAGGAATAATGTTTTGTTTTAATCTTTTATATAATAGTACTTTATAAAAAGCTGCAGTATTAAAGCTATAAATAGTATTTTTTTTATTTTTTTACCTCAAGTAAAATATATATATATATATATATATAAAGCAAATATATTATTCTAGTGTGAACAGGATTATAAGGGATCTAATCTGACAAGTTGATTATCATGATAAAGCTGTTTGAAAATATGAAGAAGCCAAGTCAAAGAACAATACCAGCGTGGAAAATATTTATTGCACGAACTTCTTTTTTTTGGCCAAAAACAGAGTCAATTTTTATTGTACGAACTGAAAGACAAGCAAACCAAATAAATTTGGAATATAACTATGATAGGTAAAAGTATAATCTAATGCCTCGTCTCCAAAAGGACATTTGGTACTATTTTATGGAGGGTGTTGTTATAAAATCTCACCCAATCACATTGCTTAGAATTTAATTGGTAGTTTCATTTTTCAAAGGAAACTCCATAAAAGATGCTAAGATAAAGAATTATGAAACATGCTCTGATCAATTAACAATTTGAAGCCTTCATTAGCTCTCAGAAATCACCATGATTCAACCCATCCCAAATGATTTTATCTTCTGAATAAGCTAGGTAAATTAAATATATAAATTACCAACAAAAATTGGTCATGTTTATAAGAATTTAACCTATGACATACGAGGTAGTGATATCAAATCTCACTATCGATGTGAGAGCCTTGTTGATAAATGATTTATAAGTATTTTTTTTTAATATTTTTTGAACCTAAAGACATGTCTTAACCCTGATAAATTTTTAAGGCTCTAAACTTTTTGCTATAGAAAGATGAATAGATAAACTAAAAATGATATATGAGACTTGAGTTTAAATAATCATTGATGGGAGAATTAGACTTTCGAAGTCTAATTTTCCTAGTTTTGGCACGAAGCTTTTAATTTTTATATTTTAAACAATAATTTTTTTCAAAAAGGTGATAGAATTTTTTTTATCGTAGACTCTATATTTATTAAAAGAGAAAACATTATTTTTGATTTCTGCATTTTACTTATATTTTGTTATAGGTCCTAAACTTTGTTTTTGGTGTTTCAGGTTTTTGTATTATCCTCCGTTTGCAATATTAGTCCCTACATTTTCACAGGGGCATTGATATAGCACAAATGGTATTAATGATGTTGAAATATCAATTAACACTGTTAATTTTGTACTTGTGTGTCCAACTG